AAAAAATTTTTATTATTAAATAAACCCAAAAAACAAAATTTTATGTATAAAAATTAGGTGCGTCAATCATTTACTCCATATCAAAATTGATCTGCACGATATCCCATATGACTGCTAACCTCTAACTAACCAATCTATAGAATTTTTAGTTTGTTATAGTAGTTTGTATTATATAATATAATGGAAATTATATATCGGGTGACTTTAAACTGGGTGAAAATAGAATTTCCCCAAAATATTATATTATTAATAAGCCGGTCCAATATACTTATCATTTTTAAAATATTTAGGATTCATAAATGAAATCCATCTATTTTCATTATTTCTTTTATAAACAACTTGAAAAACTTCATATTCAATAATAGAAAAATTTTTTGCTAATATAATATTTTCAAAACTTGAAGAATGGGAGGTGCATTTTCCACGTTTGTTAAAATCGTCAGTCATATGAATATCTTGTTTACCAAAGCAGGGGCCTAATTGTAAGTCATCTTTGATTGCTGGATTATTTTCTTTAACTGTACTAAACTTGATATTCTGAGAATTTTTACAAGGATCAAAAGAAAATATAAAGCTTTCATTTGTGTAGAGATATTTTCTACTAGAATCAATATAATCCCAACTTTCTGGATCATCTTGATATCCCCAGCATACAGGGTTGTATCCACCAATTATTTCACCAGAAGTTCTGACCTTCATAATTACAATCGTTGCCCCCTTATTGTCACAAAGTTTATGAAATACTTTAGATGTAAATCCATCACGAGTGCCTCGCAAAAGTAAATTAAGTTCACAATGAATTTTAGCTAATGTTAATTGTTTAATTTTTGGAATTTTGTAAATAATTTTAATTGCTTGTAATGGCGTAATAATGCTGGATTCAAAGAAGTGTAACTTGGTTGTCTTGGTTCTAAAATTACATTAAGTTGTAGTTTTAAATTATTTTGAAAATCTGCGATTTCATTTCTTAAATTTAAATCAATTATATCTCTAAAAGGCCAAACAAAAGTATAAAGTTGATTAACAGAGAATTTAGTAAATCTAATTAATGGGATATAGCTATATAATATATTTTTTAAATTGGCTAATTCCTCTTTAGAAAAACTAAAAAAATAATTATTTGTTCCTGAAATTTGACCAATTCCCCATAAAATTAAATTGTGCCAAATTTCAAATTCTTCCATTTGAATTTTATCCATGTTCAAAAATTTCATCCATAAACTACCATCAAGTTGTAAAAAGTATTTTGATCTGAAAAGTAATCGTGGATTTTCGCAAATTTTCTCTAAGCAATAATCTTGAAGTATTTCAAGTGATTTATATCTGAAGCTAGTAAAAGTAACCAAATCCAAATTGCATAATATCCATTCATATCTTTGCTCAATAAGATGACATTGACCTTCATCCAAAATTCCGTCAATTAATAGTTCTTCAGTTGCCACTAAAAAATTTAATATATCTTTTTCAACATGTTGCTTCCAAAGTACTTCACCACTATAGATGTAGCTGGAATTAAAAGATAAGATTAAAATTAATAAATAAAATTAATAAATGTATTCAAATAATAAACAGTATTAATTAATTCCTATAAAAGAATTTGATTTATACTTTAATGCAATAAGGAATACTTTCGGTGTAATATTAGGCTTCTTAAAGATAATTTTATCATTTTCAAATTTAGCCCAAGATGATGATAAAGCACATTTAAAATAGGGTGTACTATTAGAAAGAATTTCTGTATGTGCATTAAATCTTTCAATATCAGGCTCTTCTCCCACTTCAATTACCAGGTCTGTGAATTTGTTTTTAGAAAGATGATGAAAATAACTGCTACTATATGAATGAACTGGCTTAATTTTTGAACATTTTGGTAATGGTTCGACCAACGAAGGCAAACCAGTAAAGTAGCAATTGTCATTAGCTGACAATGAAAATTCGGTAGGCTCTATAAAGGAGTAATTTGTAATAAAAGCATCTTTAGAATATATCGGATGGTAGGGACGGGGAGAATAGATATCTGGAGG